AAGTATTCACTTCATGAGGATTCCAGTCAATGTGTAGAAGCAGTTAAATGCGTGTGATACTCATGAGAGGGAAACAATACAAACATTGCTGTTGGTAAGAACCAGATCTAGGGAACCTGACACCTTCATACCAATGCACATAAAATAAAGTTAAATAAATAATTAAAAAAAAAAAGAACCAGATACAGCCACAGATCTTTGATCTCAGTACTTGGGAGGCAGAAGCAGGCAGATCTCTGTGAGTTTGAGGCCAACCTGGTCTACAGAGTGAGTTCCAGGACAGCCAAGGATACACAAAGAAACCCTGTCTTGAAATAAAAAACAAAACATAGAAAGAAAGAAAACTTGAGCTGGGCAGTGTGGCTCAGACCTTTAATTCCAGCACTTGGGAGGCAGAGGTAAGAGGATTTCTGTGAGTTCAAAGCCAGCTTGGTCTACACAACTATTCTAGGACAGCCAGGGCTACACACACACACACACACACACACACACACACATGAACAAACAAGCCAACAAAAAAAAGAATCTTCCCTTCTGGGGCAGGGTCTAACGAGACAAGATCTGACTCTGTAGCTCAGGCTGTCCTCACAGTGGTCCTTCTCCTCCTCCCTCAGTTCCAGAGTGGAGAGATTTCAGGTGTGAGTCACCAAGTCCAGCTTCAGGCTGGTGACATTCTGGGTTTAATCCCTCTTCTTCAGCCAGATTCATAGCAGGTTGCCTTGCTCTCCACCTCACAGAGGTCAGAACTTCACACGTGCGACCCACAAACCCTATCACACACTGATTAAAGCTGCACAATCAGCTTTATTTGATGGTGGCTTCTGCTATTATACTGCCTAGCGACATACCTTTTTCAGTTTATGGTGTTTGCACAGCCAATGAATCTCAGCATGGCAGTTTTCAGACTGTAGCTGCTTTTATTTTATTTTATTTTATTTTTTTTTTTTTCGAGACAGGGTTTCTCTGTGGCTTTGGAGCCTGTCCTGGCACTAGCTCTTGTAGAACAGGCTGGTCTCGAACTCACAGAGATCCGCCTGCCTCTGCCTCCCGAGTGCTGGGATTAAAGGCGTGCGCCACCACCGCCCGGCTGTAAGTGTGTTTCTAAAATTATATGTATTTATTATTTACTTATTGTGTGTATCCACGACCACAGTGAGTGCATGGGCAGGGGCGGGGGGCATGCACATGCCAGGCAACATGAGGAGGGCAGGGAACAACCCGTGGAAGTTGACTCTTTTCATTCCACCACATGAGTCCTGCAGCCATCAGACTTGGTAGCAAGTGTGATAACCCACTGAGTTATCTTGCTGGCCTGTGTCTGATACTTTTTTTAATTCATTTTCTTTTTTCTTTCTTCCTTTCTTCCTCCTTTCCTCCCTCCCTCTCTTTCTTCCTTCCTTCCTTTCTTGTTTTTTATTTATTTTTTTATTTATTTTTTTTTTTGGTTTTTCGAGACAGGGTTTCTCTGCGGCTTTGGAGCCTGTCCTGGAACTAGCTCTGTAGACCAGGCTGACCTCGAACTCACAGAGATCCGCCTGCCTCTGCCTCCCGAGTGCTGGGATTAAAGGCGTGCGCCACCAACGCCCGGCACCCTTTCTTGTTTTTTAGATTTATTTATCATGTATACAGTATTTTTTCTGCATGTATGCCTGCAGGCCAGAACAGGGCACCAGATCTCATTAGAGGTGGTTGTCAGGCATCATGTGGCTGCCGGGAATTGAACTCAAGTCTTCTGGAAGAGCAGTCAGTGCTCAGTTCCTGTATCTGGTACTTTAAAATTTTATGTGTATGGGTGTATTGCCTTATACATGTCTGTGAACCACTTCTGTGCAGTGCCCACAGAGGCCAGAAGAGGCATGGAATCCTCTTGGAACTGGAGCTATGAGGTTGGCCAGCCACCACGCTGCCCTTCAACTCACAGAGAAATTTTGGGATTAAAGGCATGACCACACCCAACTCAAATTTCATTTCTTTTCTTTCTTTCTTTCTTTCTTTCTTTCTTTCTTTCTTTCTTTCTTTCTTTCTTCTTCTTTATTTTTTTATTTTTTTTAATTTATTTATTTAGTATACAATGTGTGTATGTCTGCAGGCCAGAAGAGGGCACCAGACCTCATTCCAGATGGTTGTGAGCCACCATGTGGTTGCTGGGAATTGAACTCAGGACCTTTGGAAGAGGAGGCAATGCTCTTAACCACTGAGCCATCTCTCCAGCCCCTATTTTTTATTTTTTGTTTTGTTTTGTTTTTATTTTGTTTTGTTTGTTTTTTGAGACAAGGTTTCTCTGTATAGCCTTGACTGTCCTGGAACTCGCTCTGTAGACTAGGCTGGCTTTCAACTCACAGAAATCTACCTGCCTCTACCTTCTGAGTGCTGGGATTAAAGGCATACACCAACACTGCCCACCTTCCAAGTTTTGTTTTGTTTTGTTTTCAAGTCATTAGACTCGGTGTGCAGCCTTAGTTGTCCTGGAACTCACTCTGTAGACCAGGCTGGCCTCAAATTCATAGAGATCCACCTGCCTCTGCCTCCTGCGTGCTGGAATCAAAAGCTTGTACTATTGATGCCAGGACCAGAGATTCTAAAGAAGATGTGGGGTAACCCCTGTCAGCCCTAGGGGCACCTCACTCTTTAGATGGACTCTTCTGTGCTGATCCACCCACACAACTTCTGAGGCAGAGGAGTCAAGACTGTGACATCACCTTTCCTTTCATTGGGGTATCTTGATCACCAGCTCTGCTCCCCAGATAACTCTTCCTGTATCCTTATCCCAGTGCCCCGGTTGATGTTGCTTTAGACTCCTGACACTCTCCTGATGGAGCGCTTACTCCTGTTGAGACAATGCCTTCTGTTTCTCCCTCTAATATGCTTGCTCCCAGGGCTGTGAGGACTGACTGCCCCAGCCCCCAGCCCCTAGAGCTAGAGCTAGCGGTGGCAGAGCCGAGCCCCACAGCTGTCACATTGCAGAACTGTCACATTGGTCCAGGGCACTAATGACTTCTCTCATAAAACAAGGCACGAGACTCAGGGAAGAAATTTCAGCAACATTAAAATCGAATTGCAGCGTACCCCTGAATCCATTAATGGACAACCAAAACATGCTCTCTCCATTCACGGGATATCCTTCTCCCATAAAAAGGAGGGAAACTGGGGACTGGAGAGATAGCTCAGCAGTTAAGAGCACTGACTGCTCTTCCTGAGGACCCGGGTTCAATTCCCAGCACCCATATGGCAGCTCATAACTGTCTGAAGATCCAGTTCCAGGGGATCTGACACCTTCACACCAATGCACATAAAATAAAGTTAAATAAACCATAAAAAAAGTTAAAAAAAAAAAAAAGGAGGGAAACTAGCTGGCTGTACAGGTGTATGCCTGTGATCTCAGCACTTGAGAGGCTGAGGCAAAAGGATTGCTGCAAGGTCAAGGCTAGCCTGAGTTCACACTGTGGGAACCTGTTTCAACCGCTCCCTAACAAAAGAAGTTTGGACACACAGATGAACCTTGAGGACACAAAGGTCAGTGAAGTAAGCCGGCCACAAGAATGCAAACACCATGTGATTCCACTTATACGGTATTTAAACTCAGGGACACGAGTGGAGTGACTGGGGGAGGAGAGGGGTTTCTCTTTTTCTTTGTTTTTCAAGACAGGGTTTGTCTGTGTAACAGTCCTGGTTGTCTTGGAACTCACTCTGTAGACCAGGCTGGCCTCGAACTCACTGAGATCTGCCTGCCTCTGCCTCCCAAGTGCTGGAATGAAAGGCGTGAGCCACCACTGCCCGGCAGGGGTTGTTAGTTAATGGGTAGAGAGCTGTTGGAGAAGATCAAACCGCACTGAAGATATGTGTTGGTTGCATGACAATGTATGTGTTTAATACTACTGGACACTTGAACGCGATCAAAATGTATGCTGTATTTTGCAATAACAACAGCGATAACAATCGTGGGTTACTGGCCCGGAGAGATGGTTCAGCCATTAAAGGCTAGGCTCACAACCGAAACAGAAACAGAATTATGGGTTATCAGGAAAATGTATTCCTCTGAAACTTAGGTTAAAAAAAAGTAAATACCGGGGGCTGGAGAGATGGCTCAGTGGTTAAGAGCATTGCCTGCTCTTCCAAAGGTCCTGAGTTCAATTCCCAGCAACCACATGGTGGCTCACAACCATCTGGAATGAGGTCTGGTGCCCTCTTCTGGCCTGCAGGCATACACACAAACAGACTATTGTATGCATAATAAATAAATATTTAAAAAAAAAAAGTAAATACCTTACAGGTTGTGTCTAACCTGGTACCTGGGGGCCCGCATACACATACATGTGGAAGTTTATTCCTATGAATTTCGCTCAATATATATATATATATATATATATATATATATATATAGACATTTGTTGTTGGTAAGTCTATTGCCCAGTTCCCTAGTATGAACTTTTTGACAATCTCATGTTGCAATGTCAAAAGATTCATCACACCTACCAGGTTTACAGAACGACAAAACTATCTACAGGTTTGTTTTGTTTGGCCAGACAAAAATTTAAATTCTATGTGCACGCATGTTTTGCTAGCTTGTTATGTCTTTGCACTACGTACATGCCCATGGAGAGCAGAAGAGAACACGGAATTTTCCGGAATTCAAATTATGGATGACTGTGAGCTGGGACTCGAACCTGAGGCCTCTGGAACAGCAGTCAAGCTATTAGCCACTGAGCCATCTCTCCAGCCCCTGGAACATCGTAACAGTGACTTCAACAGAGGTGAAGGAGGCAACACCCCAGGAAGAGACTATTCGGCTGTGGAGAAGGCTGTCTGGACAGGTATACGTGGTTTTCATTTTCCACGATGGGCCTCTGGGTCCCTGTCTTTAAGACGCTGTCGGCCGCCATGAAGGTCTCAGGTTCCGGAGGGACCTAGCCAGTACTCAGTCACGAACCAGCCAGACTGCCAGGCTGGGGCCAGGCCCAGGCCCAGCCTGCCCCGCCGTGACCCCGCCTCCTCCTCGGCCCCGCCCCTGCCGGCCCCGCCCCGGTGGACAGCAGCAGGAAGCGCACGGGGCTCCTCTGACGCCGCGATCGCAAAGGTGCGGAAGGGGTGCGGGGTGCAGGCCCGGCGCACGGAGCTTGCTGCGCGGCAGCCGGTCGCCGCCAGGCCCCAGCCCGGGCCCGGCCCGGCCATGCAGGCCCGCACTCGTTCCTGCCGGAGCCTACGGAACGCCGCTCGGGGCTCCGCTGCTCTGGCCTGGGGGGCGGGGCCGGCGGCGCGGCGTCATGCATATGCATGAAGAGCGCGGCGGCGGCTCCATTGTGCCCTCCGAGCGGCGGCAGCGCGATGGCGCGGGCGGCGGCGGCCCGGGGGCGGCGGGCGGCGCCGAGGGCGGGCTGAGCGCATGGAGCTGCGCGGGCCGGGGGCCGCGGCAACGGGCCGGGCCGGGCCAGGCGGAGGTGAGCGGGCTGGGAGGCGCGGGGCACCGCAGGCAAGTGCGGGCGGCGGGCGCGCAGGTGCGGCAGGTGCGGTGGCAGGTGCGGCCGGTCCCAGGCGCCGGACGAGGTTTCGCCTCGGCCCGGCTCTGCCGCCCACCTGCGGGTACCTGCCCCCTGTGCCGAGCCGTCGGGCTCTCTTACCCATCCGCTAAGCCTTTGTTGGGAATGGCCCAGGGGTGCGAATGGCCTTTGGGGGGCCTCCTGAGCGGAGGAGGCTGGTGGGCCCTCATCCCAACCTGTCGTTCCAGCTCTGAACCGGGCAGGCTCACCTTCACAGTGCGCCCCTCGGTTCCCACTTAGGTCTCTCCATCTGGGTGATGTGGGGGGGGGGCGGTTGGAAGCCGTTAGTGGCCCCAGGAGGAGCTGCGCGGCTCCTAGACTGAGGACGCTGACCTGTCAGTCCCTGGCTAGGTTTTTGACGGGAACACCCTTTTCCAAACTGAAGCTCAGGAACGAAGATTCCCTACTCTCCCCTAGATTTTTTGTTCTCCTTGTACCCTGAACACCATTCCCAGGTGCCCAGTACCCCCTCCCCCGCAAGTATCCCGTTCCCTCAAGGTATCCTGTTCTCAGCACGCAGTCCCTTTCCGACTCCATCACCTGCCCCGCTCGCCCCCCCCCCCCTTACCTCCATCCTCCCTGGGGTTCTTTTTAGTAGTTAGAGACAGTCTTTGGTGATGTCTATAACTCGTTTGTGTTATTGCAGAAAATAACACAAATAGCACCGTCACAAATGTGACCTGATCTGAGACCACGGTGAATGTGGGTAGGGTGAACACGTACTCGCCACCAAGTCCTGGCAAAGCCAGCACCAAGGGCATCCCTTGACACTTGAGAGTGGTAACAGGGGAGGGAAGCTTAACCTTACTCCCCAGGACTGACCTCAAGGGTCCTGATGTGCTCCCAGGGGGGCAGTTACAGGCTGGAGGGATAAAAAGGATAAACAGGTAGACTTCGGAGAGACAGGCCCAGCATGTTGAGGGAGCATCCTGATTACCAAGATTGATTTCTAAGGACTGAGGACATAAAGGTGGCCATATCTCCTAGAATGGCTTCCTGATCCCTGTTCTAAATATTGGAAACTGAAGTCAGGTTTTGGTTGGACTATTTATTTATCGGCATATGCTCATTCTTGAAGTCCGCACACTGAGGAAGTATTGTTGCCTTACTTACAGAGCCGGCAGGACCTCTAAGCCTTCTGGGCACTTCACTATGCTTCTTTGATACTAGGGACTGCTTCTGCCACACTTGAGACCTCCTCCCCCACCCACCCCATGTCATGTGATTTTATTGCATCGCCTTGAACTCCTCTAGGCTTAAATGATCTTCCTGCCCCAACCTCCTGAGTGGCTAAGACCACAGTTTACACACCTCACCCTTCCCTGGGACTTTAATTTCTCTGGAGTCTTTAGATCCCCGTGTCTTTTTTGTTTGTTTTGAGACAGGGTAGCCCTGGCTGTCCTGGAACTCCTGTTAGACTGGGCTGACCTTGAACTCTGAGGTCCCACCTGCCCCTGCCTCCTGAGTACCGGGTTGCACGCTGCAAGGCAGATCCCTCTTGGGATTTGAGTTGAGTTGAAGTTCTTGAGTTTGAGCCTAACCCTGGAACTTTGGAGGCACTGAGTCATGATTTGTGGGCTGTTGAAAAGGTGCAGGAATGTTGCCTGAGTTTGGGCCCCATTACTAGGTCTTGTTCTTAAGCTGCTGAGAAGGGACACTTGGGATGTGACTCAAAGCAAGTTCTCTGGAGCTCTGCCTGAAGGGAGGCATGACTTGACCTCCAGAAGACTGCTCCTAAACTGACTTGAAGTCAGAGCAGCTTTGGGGGACCTGCTTCCAGCTGCAGGTGGCACTTGGAGAATTCAGGCCTCTTTCCCAGTCCTGTCTTGGAGGTAGGAGGTGGGGTCTACATTCATAGTCTCCCTGTAGTCAGGAGCAGATCTGGAGTCCTAGGGTCCTCCTGCAAGACCTACAAGTTGAGGTGTTAATTCAGGAGTTTAGCAGGAAGTCCTCCGAGCAGAGACATGCTTAGGGGGAACTGGAAGTGTCTGTGGTCTCTGTCCACAGCAGAGAAGCATTGTGGGTGGAATTCCCCAGGCTCCTATGATGTAAAAGGCTCCTGTGGATGCCTTCCCACCCCACACCTGTCCTTTTCTCTTCTCCCCCAATTCTGTGCACTTCCTAGATGAGATCTCTCAAACTGTGGTCAGGTGTTCAGGTGTGTTAAAGATACAAGGCTCAAGACCCAGCCTGCTCTAATGACCCTGGGTGGGGCCAGCAGCCTGTCACACCAGCTAACTGGGATGCTCTGATGGTGAGTGTTACTGGTTTAGGTGACTTGAAATGAGGCAAGGGCTCACTTGCCTGCTTCCCAGCCAGCCTGGTGCCCTCCCAGTGCTTGGGACAACAGAGTGGCTCTGGCCAACCTAACCAGGTTTGGATTTGAGGGGAGGTTTGGCTGTTTCTGGTGGTGTGGTTTTGTGGTAATGTTTTTGTAATTAAAGTTGGTTTTTTTTGTTTTGTTTTTGCTTGTTTTTTGTTTTTTGAGACAGGGTTTTTCAGTGTAACAGACTTAGCTGCCCTGGCTGGCCTCAAACTCACAGAGGTCTGCCTGCCTGTGCCTTCCAAGTACTGAGATTAAAGATGTGCACACCGCTTGGCTTTTTTTTTTAATTTATTTATTTACTGAGGCAGGGTCTCACTGTGTAACCTAGGCAAGCCTTGGATTTGTGATCATTTGCCTTGGTCTCCCAGTTGCTGTGATTTTACGTAGGCACCACCACACTAGGCTAATCTAGAACTCTTTTTTTTTTTTTTTTTTTTTGGTTTTTCGAGACAGGGTTTCTCTGTGGTTTTGGAGCCTGTCCTGGAACTAGCTCTTGTAGACCAGGCTGGTCTCGAATCCGCCTGCTTCTGCCTCCTGAGTGCTGGGATTAAAGGTGTGCGCCACCACCTCCCGGCTTTAGAACTCATTTTCTTTTTTTTTTTTTTTTACTTATTTATTTATTTATTATGTATACAATGTTCTGTCTGTGTGTATGCCTGCAGGCCAGGCCAGAAGAGGGCACCAGACCTCATTACAGATGGTTGTGAGCCACCATGTGGTTGCTGGGAATTGATCTCAGGACCTTTGGAAGAGCAGGCAATGCTCTTAACCGCTGAGCCATCTCTCCAGCCCTAGAACTCATTTTCTAGACTGACCTTGACCTTCTAGTCCTCTAGCTCCCACCTCCTCAGTGCTAGGGTTATAGGCCTGGGCCACCATACCCTTGTTTAGCTGTATCCAGTTGTAAGAAATATTGCAGAGAGTCTTTGTATCTCTACCCAGTTTCCCCCAAATGGTAACATTTTGCAAAACTGTAGTACAACATCAGTCTGGGACAGCTCATTGCTACAGTTGGGAGGAACCTTCCTGTTGTGTGTTTATATTCACACCCAGCTTCCTTCTACTGAGTTACAGTCGTGGAAGATCATCCTCCCTGCCCTCCCTTTAACCCCTGGCCACTGTTAACCCGTTTACAATTTCCCTAATTTTGGCAGATAACGGACAATATAGCACCAATGATTTGCTTTTTGCACTCAGCACAGTTTCTAGGAGATTCATCTCGAATAGGTTGTAGTGTGTTAGCAGTGGTGTGTTGCCACTGGCATCTGGATTGTGGGTGTCCTACACTGATGTGACTGCCTTTGGATATAACAAATAAATATTCACATACAAGTTTTTCCACTTAAGTTGACATTTCTCTGAGTTGCTCTGTTGTACTGTGATAGCTGTAAGCTTGGATTTACAGAAATGGCCAACTTTTCCAGAGTAGCTATGCTATTTATGGTCCTTGGGTAATGTCTGTGAGGTCTAGTTTCTCCTTGCCAGCGTTTTGTGATGTCACATTTTGTCTCAGCTGTTCTTCTGCATGTACAGTGATGCCTCCTCGTGCTTTAACCTGTGTTCCTGACAAGTTGCCGAGCGCTTGTTCTTGGGTTAATTAGCATCTGTGTTCTCCTTGGAGACGTTTATTCATGTGTTTTGCTGATTTTTCTATTTGGATTTTGTTTTGCTAATTAAGATTTTTTTATATATTCTAGATGCCCCCTCATTAGGAACAGGTGGCTTGCTTTTAGCAAATCTTTCACAGAAAAGTTTTTAATTTTGATAAAGCCAAGTTTATCTTAATGGATCATGCCTTTTGGTGTCAAATCTAAGAACTTTTTCCTAGCTTAGATCCTGTAGTTCCTTTTACCTTTCTCTAAACATCTTATAGTTTTCTATCTTACATTTAAACCCAGGACCTAGTTCATTTTGATATAGGTATGAATTGGTCGTCTTTACAGTACAAGGATTCGGACCCAGACTCTGGTACATGTTCCTGTAGTTGCTCTGCCACCGACCTGCATGCGGAGTTGCCCCGTCGTTTTGTTTACAGATGGAACTCCAGCTGTTCCTGCACACTTGTTCTAGATGTCCTTCCCCCCATGGGTTACTCTGGTGCCCTGGGAGTGCTTGTGTGGCTATTTCCCCATCTTTATTCTCTTCCATTAAATTATGCTGCTTTCTATTAAAAAAATAGATCCCAATTCCTGACATCCGCCTGGTTGTTCCAGGCCCCATATGTCAGGTCTTGGGAGGAGGACTTGTCTGTTGACAAGTTCCTCTTCCCAGGATCAGGCAGTAGCTGCAGGGATGCCAACCTCTGCTGCCAAGCTGGTACATCCTGGCCTCTGCTGCCTAGGCAGGACTTGGTTTGGGAAAGGCCAGAATCAAATCTGGTTGCCTCTGGGAGTTAGGGGTCAGACTGCCATAAGTGGGGCTTTTTTGTCCCTGATGCTGGGCGTGGGAAGGATCTCCGGAAGCAGGGGCAAGTCCACAATCCCTGTCCTTACTTTCTCTTGCCTGCTCTGGGGCTGTGTGTGTAGTTTGGCTCTGCAGAGCCTCCAGGTCTGTGGTGAGCTCTGAGTGAGATCCTGGTAAGCACATAAGAATGTCTGTCCCAAGGCTGAGTGGGTGCTGGGGTATCTCTTGTTCCCCTGGACAGGAGGCTTGTGAGTGCTGAGCTGCAAGAGGGAACTCAGCAGATTTCAGCAGGTTTCAGAAGATACACATGTCAGACATAAAGCCTTACTGTGGCAGAGGGGTTCCGGACAGAAGCACCCAGCCTTACCTCAGGGTCCCCTGAGAAGTGCCTGGCATATGACTGCTGTGTCCCTCTAGTAAGACCAGGCAGAGGTAGGCATGCAGGTGGTTCAGGGTATGCGAGGACCTGAGGAAATGAGACTCTGGGAAGGGCAACAGTCTGATCCTGGGGAATGTCTGAGCCTGTTTTAAAAAGGTGCTTGGTCGTGGCAGTGTGGGAGACATGACTTTGGAAGCCTCCTGGAGCTGTGGCCACTCCTACTCAGGAGCTACATGGGAGCACAGACCTAGCACCAAAGCAGTAGACTTCCGGTGTTCCCACAGGTCCCCTGTCCACCAGCCACTGCTGCAGATTTCTGCAGATGAAGCCCGGTTGGTCCCGTCTTGTAGATGTGGTTTAACATGCTCTCACTATTGCTGAGAAACTTAGTTACATCAGGGGCCTTTGTGTCTGCGGATACCCCCCCCACACACACATACACACACCTGTTGTACTGTGTATGTCACTGCCCTGTTGGGAACTCACTAGTGTCACAGATGGGTCTGTGGGGGACAGGACTGCCTGCTTGGCCCAATACTCCACAGTCACCCACTTCCCTATGTCATCTGGGTCAGTTTGAGGATCCTATAGCCTGAAGCCCTTCTGCCCTCTTGATAGGAAAAGCCTGCCAGCCAGGAGCTGGGCTGGTGCCTGTGTCCTGCCTCAGCCGTGTTGGTTCAGCCTCCCCAAGGCCAAGCTGGTGGATGGATTGCCTTTCCACATCTGCTTCCTGACCTTGCCAGCCCCCGCCTCAAAGGACACTTTGGCTCTGCTCCCTCTCAGGTCTCTGGGCTGCCCAGGGTGGGTAAGACTTTGAGTAGGTGCTACCCTGATTGGCCTTCAGCCCTCCACTCCAGGAACCTGCAGAGGGGTTCCTGACTTTATGTGGATAGAGTATGGGAAAGGGTGTATAGAGTGTTTGAGATCAGAGCCCTCTTTCAGGGTTGGTTCAGTGGCTTAAGATGGCAGGGCCCTCGCATGCAAACATATCTGCCCCTCTTTTGTTTGCGAGTAGGAATGTATTCATAACATGCTACATTGTCAAGGAGTTCTCAGGGCTACCACCTTAGAGTAGAGGTTGAATAGTTGTATATTTCTCCCACATTAAAGGAAAAAGGAAAAAAAGATGGGAGGGCCCTTCTTAGAGTTGCTTTGCACCGTATTCTAGGCTGACATCGACCAGCCCTGCCTTTGCTCTGTCCATTGCTACTGCAAAGGACTCTTGCTCGTCTAAGCTCTTGTCCTCTCCCTCCTGTCCAGCAGCCGGAGCAGCAACTCCCAGAGAAGTTTTGGCACATCGGGCCTGTAGGCTGCTCTATCACCAATGAACCCCATGAACCCCATGAAACCTGCCCTGCCCCCTGCACCACACGGGTGAGTGTGGGCTCTGTGGCCTGCCCTAGCAAGCCCTGGGCCTTCTGACCCCGCCTTACAAGCTACTCTCTCTGTAGTGATGGTTCATTTGCATATGAGTCTGTGCCTTGGCAACAAAGTGCCACTCAGCCAGCCGGGTCACTGTCTGTGGTTACTACTGTATGGGGAGTTGGCAACGCAACTCAAAGCCAGGTGAGTATGCACCTGGGCCCAGCTACTCTAGCCCTCAGGATCTAGAGCCTTGGTAGTTGGTGCCTCTGCCATCTTAGGGCTACGGGGACTGACTGGAGCTCAGGCTGGGGCTTCCTGAGGGTCTCAAATCGCTAGGTGCCTTTCTTCTGTGTTGTCATGGGATGCCTTCCCCTGGCTGGCTCCATAGACCACCCTAGTCAGAATTGTAGACAGGTACTCTTATCATCCCAGGTCCTCCCCCACTTGTTAGGCTTCTCTTGGCATCTAACACTTCAGAGCTATGTCCTGAAGACAGTGGTTTGGCTGGTTCTCTTTGGTGACTCCCACTTCCTTGTAGGTTTTGGGGAACCCCATGGGCCCTGCAGGAAGCCCCCCTGGTGGCTCTATGATGCCTGGTGTGGCAGGTGGCAGCTCTGCCTTGACCTCCCCGCAGTGCCTGGGACAGCAGGCGTTTGCTGAAGGTGGTGCTAGCAAGGGCTACGTCCAGCAAGGCGTATATGGCCGTGGGGGCTACCCTGGAGGATCCAGCTTCACCACTGGGTAAGCAGGGCCCCTCATTTGGCCAGTGGCTTGAAGCTGTCAGCCTGGCAGGTGCTGCCAAAGGGTTGGATGTTGCCTGTTGCTTCCCCACTAACTCCAGTAGCCACAGTGGAAGGTTGAGAAAGAATGGAAGAATGGGCTCCGGAGTGCTGTGTGTCTCAGAGCAAGCTATCGTAGAGAGTGAGACAATCCTATATCACCTGCAGGTATGCAGGTGGCCCTGGAGGCCTGGCCCTCCCCTCACATGCTGCGCGGCCCTCGACAGACTTCACACAAGCAGCAGCTGCAGCTGCTATGGCTGCTGCCGCAGCCACCGCCACGGCCACGGCCACGGCCACTGTGGCTGCCCTGCAGGAGAAACAGAGCCAGGAGCTAAGCCAATATGGAGCGGTGAGGCCCCTCAAGTTCCTTCTATGCGATAGCAAGTATGGGTGGGCTTGCAGGACTTGCCACAGTGGGTTGTGGGGACAAGTATGGACTGTTGTGGGACCTCATGAAGCCAGTGGAAGAGGCACGGGAAAGGAGAGAGGGCTAGGAACCGCTGAGAGCGGGTCCGGACCGTCCCTCTTCTTTCTCCTCTCAGATGGGAACTGGACAGTCTTTTAACAGCCAGTTCCTGCAGCATGGTGGTCCCCGAGGACCCAGTGTACCCCCTGGCATGAACCCTTCTGGCATGGGAGGAATGATGGGCCCCTCTGGCCTCTCTTCCATGGCCATGAACCCTGCCCGGGCAGCAGGCATGACACCCTTGTATGCAGGACAGCGACTGCCTCAACATGGGTACCCTGGGCCTCCTCAGGCCCAGCCATTACCCCGACAGGGCGTCAAGAGAGCCTATTCAGAGGTGAGTGTCTTGATTGCTCAGTGTGGGGTCCTAGATGATGAGTCCCTACAAAGTAGTCCCACAGTTATGATAAGGGTGGCTTCTGCTGTGAGAGAGAACTACTGTGCCTGGCAGGATCACGAAGACACCCCCCCATCTGCCAACACACACAACAAACAGCTTCCCCCAATAACTCTTTCCTTGGGCATCGCTTCTTCTCAGGTGTACCCTGGGCAGCAGTATCTACAAGGAGGCCAGTATGCAGCCAGCACTGCCCAGTATGCTCCTGGTCCTGGGCAACCCCCTGGCCCTGCCTCCTCTTACCCCGGACACAGGCTACCCCTGCAGCAGGGCATGGCCCCTTCCCTGTCTGCACCTGGCTCCACAGGACTGCACTACAAGGTAGGACTGGCTCTCATGGGCCTGTGCTGGCTTGAGTGTCGTGGGACTCAGTGGGGACCTTTCGGTAGACTGGCCAGGGAATTTAGTCAGTGTAAGAACAGCTCTCAGGGTGTCCAGTCTGATTCTGTGGTCCATACATCTATGTCTCTCTGGATATTTGGTGTAGGGAGCAGCAAGCAGACTTCCAAGCCATTGTGACAACCTCTGCATTCACTCCTTACCCATCTACCCTACACCCTGACTCCTGTTGAGCATAGGGAGGTGAGCACGCCTCACTGGGAGCCTGGGTAGGCAGAGTAGCATGATGAGGTGGAGAAGGGAAGGAAAGATGGAGCTCTTCCGACCTAAGGGCCGCTCCTGTTTCCTTAGTATTACTTTATGAAATCAGTGATGTCTCTTACAGGTTATAGGGAGTGTAGACAATGCACAGATCAGCTCCTGTGTGTGGTACAGACTCTAGGATCGGGCCTAGGGGGTTAGTGGGGGACAGGCTGGAGCCCCAGGCACACTCGGTTTTCTTTCCCACAGCCCACAGAGCAGTTCAACGGGCAGGGCGCCAGCTTCAACGGGGGCAGCATCGGCTACAGCCAGCCTGGCTTGAGTGGGGTACGGGGCTTGGCAGGGCGGATGGGCTGGGAGGCACACGAGGCGGGTGTGTGGAAAGAGGGGTGCTCCGTGAGCAGACTGCCCTCCTACTCTGCCATTCTGCTTTGACTGTTTATGCTCAACCTCTACAGCCTTCCCGTTCCATCCCTGGTTACCCCAGCTCTCCACTGCCGGGGAACCCCACACCACCCATGACGCCCAGCAGCAATGTTCCCTACATGTCCCCAAGCCAGGAAGTCAAGTCTCCTTTCCTGCCTGACCTCAAGCCAGGCCTCAGCTCTTTGCACCCGTCACCCTCTGGTGAGTGTTTAAGGACAACAGCCAACATGATACTTGGGTGGCTGGGTAATCAGGACTCAGAGAGTCCTACAGGGAAAGCCTAAGGCCCAGCTTCATACAAAGCAGAATAGTTATATATCAGGCCCCTGCAAAAGCCAACATCCTGCCGGGCAATGGTGGAACACACCTTTAATCCCTGTACTTGGGAACCAGAGGCAGGCAGATCTCTGTGAGTTCGAGGCCAGCCTGGTCTACAGAACTACACAGGTCAGGGCTACACAGAGAAACCCTGTCTCGAAGAACAAATAAATAAATAAATAAATAAATAAATAGCTAACTTCCTAAAACTTTCCATTGAACCATAGGGCGATGGCAGGTGGCCCCGTTTGAACGTGCTTTCTAGGTTGGGCGCATGTCCTGTGTCTGTTCAGAATGTGATCCAGACTGCTAGATGGCTGAGGCAGGACAGAACATGCTGACTGGGGGCCCACTTTGAGTAGGGACACTAGGAGCCCAGTGTGGGGGCATCACAGAGTCCTCTTGAGAGTTTCTGACAGGGGTTAGGTTAGGATTTGGGGCTCTAGGTATAGAAGTGTTCTTTGGGGCCTTGGAAGGGTACCAGACTCATGGCCAGCATACCTCTGCCTGCAGGAAGTGGTCCTTGTGATGAGTTGCGCCTGACCTTCCCAGTTCGAGATGGGGTGGTCCTGGAACCCTTCCGCCTGCAGCACAACCTGGCTGTGAGCAACCATGTCTTCCAGCTCCGAGACTCTGTCTACAAGACCCTGATGCTGAGGTGAGTCCTGCTACCATCCTGCCCCTGGGCCCCGGCTGTACGGTGTGGGCTCCTGTCATCCTCTTCCCTCTAGGCCTGACCTGGAGCTGCAGTTCAAATGCTACCACCATGAGGACCGACAGATGAACACCAACTGGCCAGCGTCTGTGCAGGTCAGCGTCAACGCCACACCCCTCAGCATCGAGCGTGGAGACAACAAGACTTCGCACAAGCCCCTCTACCTGAAGCACGTGTGCCAGCCAGGCCGCAACACGATCCAGATCACTGTTACCGCCTGCTGCTGCGTGGGTAGCCTGCGGGGCTGTGGGTTGGGTCTGTCAGGGTTCAGGCTGGGGCCTGCAGAGACCACCCAGACCATCAGCTCTCCTGTGGGCTTGGGAGCTTGTCAGGGAGGGTCTTTGTCCTTGAAGAACAGGTGTTGCTTCTCACATCTGCCCTTTCAGAAAAGGGAGCCAGTAAATCCACCCCGTTTCCCAGTTAGATTGCATTGGACAGATTTAATGCTCATGTTAGTTATATCAGAAAGCCAAGCGCAGGAAGCTCATGGGAGATGTGCCTGCCGCCTGCCCTGGCCTGGGCCTCACCAGGTTCCAGTGGACAGGATCCTCAGTAACCTTGAGCTCCTGGAGATAGGGTGGCTCAGATACCATGTCATGTCAGGAGAGTGGGTGTGACAAGCAGGAGACTGTGCCAGGGACTTGAGGCGATTGTGTTTTGACAGAGGAGAAAACTAGACAGTGGTTGGAGCCAAGTGCCCTGCAGAGCATGAGATAGTGCATTGTGGCTGAAGCTCAGAGATGTAGGAAAGCCCCTACCTATGTGGCAGCACTTAGGAGGGCCTCGCTGTCAGGAAAGTAGCTGGCCTGGCTTCTGTCCATGCTAGGCCCCATCCCTCCCTGCCTGACACCCCTTGAATTAACTTCTAAAAACACATCCCCCTGAACCATCCGCCTCCCAGGCTCCCGCTCTACATGTAACGTCCCTCACTCTGTTGCAGTCTCACCTCTTCGTGCTGCAACTGGTGCACCGTCCGTCTGTCCGCTCTGTGCTGCAGGGCCTCCTCAAGAAGCGCCTCCTGCCAGCTGAGCACTGCATCACCAAGAGTGAGTGGTCCCTACTCCTCAGCCATCTGGGCTGTCCCAGGCTGAACCCTGCAGTGTGGCACAGAGACCATTTCCTCCTTCAGACTGGTGGTTCTGCCCAAGGAGCACTGGTTACCTCCAGGCAACTCCTTAGAGGCACTGACTGAGGAATGACTGGGTCTCTGGTTAGCACACCAGCTCACAGCCTCAGAGTGTTGGAGACTTTTACTCAAGTCCTTTCCCCTGTCAATGTCAGTAAAGCGGAACTTCAGTAGCGGCACCATCCCTGGCACCCCTGGGCCCAATGGAGAGGATGGGGTGGAGCAGACGGCTATCAAGGTGTCCCTGAAGTGCCCCATCACCTTCCGCAGGATCCAGCTCCCAGCCCGTGGTCACGACTGTCGCCACATACAGGTGCGTGGTCTGTAGCCCTCTGTTGGATTTGTCTTGAGTTTGTGGAGCAACCAGAAGACTGACTCAGTACTGAATAGCATCTAAACTAGAAACTGACCGCCGGGCGGTGGTGGCGCACGCCTTTAATCCCAGCACTCGGGAGGCAGAGGCTGGCGGATCTCTGTGAGTTTGAGACCAGCCTGGTCTACAAGAGCTAGTTCCAGGACAGGCTCCAAAACGACAGAGAAACCCTGTCTTGAAAAAAAAAAACCCAATAAATAAACAAACAAACAAACAAACAAGAAACCGAGAAAGCTGCATTAGCATTGGAAAAAAAGAACCCGTGAGCCACAGGAGGGGTCTGCTTCTGGTTTTTACCCACCTAAAACATGCACAGTACTGTCCATAGCTGTAACTAGTAAGAGCTCCAGATAAAAACATGTTTATCAGCAACTTAGAGAAAGGTTTTGTGCCTGTATCCCAGTACACACCTGTAATCCCAGCACCCACAGGACTGAAGCAGTAGGAGCTTAAAGTGAAGCCAGTCTGGGTACATAGTGAGAATCTGACTCAGATTTTTTCCTCCCCTTGAGACATGGCCTCATGTGTCCCAGCCTGGCCTCAGACTCACTTTGTAGCTGGGGATAAACCTGAATTCCTGATCTTCCTGCCTCAACCTACCAGGCTGCCAGCGTTGGGCTTGCAGACAGACATCCCTGTACTCATGCACTGGAGAAAACAATATTTTGTGCTGACACTTGAGCCTCCTCCTCTTTGGCAGATGGAATCTGAGCTCAACTGTCAGACCAAAAAGGCAGACCTTACCACGGGGGCGTGACCCTCTTGCTCCTTTGAAACATAATCACAGTTTTTTTCCTATAAAAGTATGTTTGTGACATGTAGCCCTGACTGTCCCGGAAAACTCTTTATGTAGACTAGGCTGGCCTGGAACACAGAGATTTACCTACCTCTACTTCCCAAGTTCTAGGATTAAAGATGTGTACCACCATGCCATACAGTTTTCCCTGTATTTTTGCTAGTTACTATATTCATGGGGTTCCATTTTAAAAGGTATAAGGATATGGGTACAGCCTTCTTCCTGCCCACCTTTAGAGTTCCCGTCTGCGGAAATAACCAGTGTTTGACAAGTAACTGCATGCTACATATGGTTGCATAGTGGTGTTCTGTCCTATAAACTTGCTTTTTTGGAGGTTGTGCTAGGGGTTGAATCTAGGGCTTTATGCATGCTAGGCTGACTCTGCCACTGAGCTACAGCCTTAGCCTTTTAACAACTGCCCTGAGCCAAGAGATTCCCTGTGGATACAACTTCCTGATCCTGGGGCATAGCAGTGCTGGGGAGGGCTGCTTGGGGATATCCCAAATTAGGCCTATTAGGATGCAGCTGCAGTAGAAACCTGACACCTTAAATATAAACCCAGATAAGTCACAATTTCCAGAAGACATTCGCAACAGCCCCTTTCACTGACCCATGGTAAGGAATGGCCTGTCTCCCTGTCTCTCTGCAGTGCTTTGACCTGGAGTCATACTTGCAGCTCAACTGTGAGCGGGGGACCTGGAGGTGCCCTGTGTGCAAGTAAGTCAGTCTTGTGTCTGCTGCTTCCTTAAAGGGTGGAACTTGAATTAGGGTCAGAAGTGGTCCATAGCACAGACCAGAATAGCAGAAACTACTAGGTGACAGAGCAGAACCCTACTAGGTGACTTTGCACAGTATCCCCTTACACTGGACTATCATAGTGGTCATCTAATACATGCCATGAACTCACAGGGGTCCCTTACAGAATCATCACACAGGTGACAGAGCTGGAGAAATGGTAGTGCTTATACCCAGCTGGGCTAGGCCTCCTGACCAGTCAGTCTCCTTTGCATTCTACAGTAAGACGGCCTTGCTGGAGGGTCTGGAGGTGGACCAGTACATGCTGGGTATCCTGATTTACATTCAGAAGTAAGTGGCTCTTCCTGCCTGCCACCCCTCGTCTGTGGCCACCAGAAGGTAGGCCTGGAGTAAGAGCAGTCTTCGGAGCCTCTTCCCACGGTGAAGCAGCTCCACTCCAGGCCAGGGCCACACACACACACCTGCTGAGTGTCCTGAAGATTCTGGGTGGTGTCTAAAGGGGTTTGAGTACAAGGTCTGGTTGGAAACCTGACCTCTGGGGTGGCAAGTGACCAGTGCCCATCCGCGTCCCTGCTTAGCTCAGACTATGAGGAGATCACCATCGACCCTACGTGCAGCTGGAAGCCAGTACCTGTGAAGCCTGACCTGCACATCAAGGAGGAGCCAGATGGGCCAGTGCTGAAACGCTGCCGCACTGTGAGCCCCGCCCATGTGCTCATGCCCAGTGTGATGGAGATGATCGCAGCTCTGGGCCCGGGCGCTGCCCCCTTTGCCCCTTTGCAGCCCCCTTCGGCCCCTGCCCCCAGCGACTACCCCAGCCAGGGTGAGTACAGTACACCCAGGCTTGAGCCTCAGGTGACCCTGGGAAGATGGCTTATCCTCTATAGCTCAGAATCCATGCTGAGGACGCCCATCCTTCGTATCCCGGCTGATAGGGTACTCAGTTTTCCACCCTGTCCTCTGATTTGGAGTGAGGCTTTCCATGGAAAAACTTGCGTGGACTTCTTCTGAAATGAGCTGGTCCTGTTCGGGTGTCCCCTGAAGACTCGTACAGCATACACACTGCACTTTGTTGTGGCGGGTCTCATCCCTGATCATCTTCTTGCAGGTTCCAACTTCCTGGGGCCTGGAACCTTCCCAGAATCCTTCCCATCTGCTACACCCACCACCCCAAACCTTGCCGAGTTTGCCCAGGGGCCACCTCCCATGTCCTACCAATCTGACATTCCCGGCAGCCTCCTGACTGCAGACAAGTCTGCTCCTTGCCTCCCAAGCCAGGTCAGTGCTGTGCCCAGAGGCTCGGTAAGAGTCTCCCCAGAGGGTCCTTGAGCTATTTTAACAAGTTCTTTTCTCTATCCTCAGATGGCACCAGCAGGCCACCTGGACCCAGCCCATAATCCTGGACCACCAGGATTGCACACCCCCAACCTCGGGCCCACCCCAGGCTCCCAGCTACACCATCCAAATCCTCCCTCTCCATCCTGACAGTCCCTGGGTCAACAGGGCCCATCAGTGAATTGGCCTTCAATCCTGCCATGGGCATGATGGGACCTCCCAGCATGACTGCTGGGGCAGGGGAGGCCCCAGCAACAGCTCTGGATCTGCTCCCAGAACTGACCAATCCTGACGAACTGCTCTCCTATCTGGGTCCACCCGACCTCCCCACAAACAGCAGCGATGGCCTGCTCTCGCTCTTTGAGAACAACTGATTGTCGGTTAGTCCCTGGCCTGGAGAGGACATACTCACAGATACCACCACAGCCTTCGTTTCTCACCCAGCCCCACAGGATGCCTGGCGGTTCTCCCTGAATCTCCTCATGCACATACCCTGAGCTGGGGCCAGCCCCTGTTGAACTGGAAGCAGCTCTGTGCTCCAAGGGGCCCCAGGCTAGTGGTCCTCACACCCGCCCTCCATCAAGCTCACTGCTACAGAATGGGTCTTGCGAGGTGCCCTCCAGGCCCCATCAGCTGCGTGTGTACACAGCCCTACACCCCAGACTCACGGCCTTGCACTTGTCCTTCCGCCCTGCCTGCTCCCACCCGGCCTGCATCTTGTCCAGCACTGACCCTCTGTTTCTGCTTCTCCTCAGCTGGCTGGCAAGGCTGGCTCCATACTCTTGGTCTGCAGCTCCGGTGGCTTGAGCCTGGCAGGCTCAGAAAGAAACAGAGCACCAGCCTGTGGGGGGCCTGGTGCTCTCACCCAGCTGAATGTGGTCCCGGGGTTCCCCGCTCCACCCTGAGCTTCAGGCAGAGGCTGGGGAGGGGGCAATAAAGCACAACAATGTACATAATGTAGACATGCTCACAGCTGGGAGAGGGTGGGGCCGCTGTGTAAGCCAGCATGTTCCTCTGTGGCCTGGCCTGGGCCTTCCATGTGCTGTCTGCCCCTTACTGAATGCAGACAGCTCAGGGGGAGGTAGGAGGTTCAGCCTCTTTAGGGGTGGGATTTCAGCCTCAGCTCTGTGTAAATTCTCCAGGGAGATGCTCCCCCAAGTTCCTCTTTTCTGTGAAAGTGAAGAATTAGTACAGATGTCTTTTTTAAACCACCTCATCTCCACCCTGCGGCCCACACCCAGGTGGGGGAGGCCATTGCATCTGCTGGGAAGCGCCTGGGCCTGC